GGAAGACCTTGCATCCACTACTCAGCAGCTTCCATGTGATTTTCCTACCAAATGTTGGAGGGTTTCAGGGGTACAAACTGACCTTCACATTCCACTCCTGGGCCCCTGAATTGTTTTTGTCCATTGCTGGACAGGAAGCCTTGTTTGCAAGTGCAGTAGTAACTCCCCACGGTGTTGGTGCAGGTTGCATAAGCTGGGCACGTGGTAGTGTCCGCACACTCATTCACATCTAGGCAGCATGAAAAGAAGAGTTTGGATAAGATAAGAGTGAGTCCAGGGACCTCAGCACAAAAAGGGGGTAGTGACCATTGTGAGTTCAGTGTGTTCCAAAGAGGTACACAAAGCCCTGAACCCTGGTGCCTGTGAATGTGATCTTATTTAAATGGGACCTTTGTGGATGCAACTGGAAATGTAAATGAAGAATGCAGTTGTAGGAGTAGGTAAGTCCAGTGTAAGTGGTGCCTTGTAAGGAGGAAAGAGACTCCAAGACAGGCTCAGGGAGAATGTGTGGGACAATGGAGGCAGATTGGGGCAATGTGTCTACAGGCCAAAGAGCACCAAGGACTCCCAGCAACCTCAGAAACTAAGACAAAGGTGCAGCGCAGATTTCACACACAGAGAAGGGTCCTCACACACCTGGGCTTCAGTCTCAGCCCCCAGGACTGTGAGAGTGAATTGTTGTTGTTTAAGCCATCCAGGTTGTGCTTGTTTGTACTTTGAAGACCTGAGGCCCTTGCTACTCAACGAGTGGTCCATGGGATGGCAGCATGAGCATCATCTTGGAGTTCAGTGGAACTGCTAAGACCTCAAGCCCCGCGCCAGGTCTACCAAGTCAGAATCTGCATTTGAACAAGAGCCCTAAGGAGTCTGTGAGCCCTGATCTGGACTTGGCTACTCCAAGGGTGTCCACAGACCAGCAGCATCTCCTGCACCTTGAACTCACAGGACATCTTAGAAAATCAGATGCTAACTCAGCCGATTTGGAGGAGACCTGAGACTCTGCATTATACCAAGCTCCTGGAGGATGCCCACGTTGTTGGCCATGGGCCCTGCTGTGAACACCCAAGCACTGCACAGAGAGGATGCATGGACAGGGAGGCTTTGGAGAGAGGTGGGGCTTGGCTCAAGTTCCAACAGGAACCTCAGGGCAGAGGATGCCAGCCGTTCTCCTGGGCCCTCTGCACCCTCATCCACCTGAAGACGGCACTGCTCTCTTCCCTGGCAGCGAGGGAGGGGTGGCCCCGGAGCTGTGCTCTGGCTGGTAGGAGCAGCAGCAGTGAGGTGCCTGCTCTCCCTCCCTGCCTGCCCTGACCGGCCGCACATGGGAGGATGGGAGGATCTACCCTCAGCAGGGAGGTAGCAACGCTAGGGACAGAGGCAGCAGGACGGGTGGCCCCCGGGAGCTGGGACGTGCTCCCAGGCAGAGCTGCCTGCCGCCCTGTTCCATCTCCAATAGAGGTGCCCAACAGAGGCTCAATAAAAAGTGTGGCCTGAGTGAAAGTCTCTGCAAGTGTAGCGCTTTCATCCATGTGGGAGGGAGGCAGGGGGACATCAACAGGAAATGACAACAGTCACAGCGTATCACCTGATGACTGAAGATAGAGAAAAATTAAAGGAAAGACGCAGATGGTGAGAATGGGTGGGAGGAGGTACAATTTAAAACAGGGAAGCCCAAACAGCTTGACCCAGAGGGTGAAGTCCAAGCAAAAACCTGAAGACATGAACTCCAAAGCTATTTGAGGCAAAAGGAACAGTGGTCTGCAAAGGCCCTGGGGCAGACCACTCCTGTGATTGCATAGAAAAATCAAAAGGCCAGTGGGAAGAGGAGCAGAGAGTTAGGAGAGTGGGAGGAGGTGAGGAGAGTGGGAGGAGGTGAGGAGAGTGGGAGGAGGTGAGGAGAG